AAACAATTGCAGTTAAATTCAACATGGATTTGAAAAGCGTCCACTTGCCACTGGATTTCAACAACTACCAGGAGCAAAAAAACTTGAAACTCAATCTTAGAAAAGCTTGATAGCGTCAAATATTCATAAAATAATTCTAGCACAAGGACTAGTGATATTCTTCTCTTCCTACATTTCTAAAGCCCTGTGCAACATTCAGAGCCTCACATATCCACTCCCATTTAGATATAATCACATAAGTAAGAATTGCAGAAGCCAACGATAAAGAATTGATTACAGAAAACAAAGTATAGGTATATCTGTAAATGGAATGGAGAAGGAAATCGAGAAACGGGTGATGCGGTCGTGGACCGTGGTTATGGTCGCATCGATCAAGTCGATGATCGAGCTTGGAGCGAAGGAGGAAAAAAATAAATTGCCCCCCAATGTATCGCGTCCATTGTCCGGACGTAGCATACGTTTGGACTCCGGACCCAATAATTTTTCCCTTCCAGGAAAACGCGTACAGTACCTTATGGTCGCCATTCTTATGAAAATGTAACCTTGTTTTAATAAAGTTGTTATTTAAAGAGCGAGTTAGCAACTTGGTTCAAAAATGAGTTAGAAAAGCTCAAACAAACGCCCTCATAGAGTAGTTAAAATTAAAATTTTATAAATTTGTTGGTGAACGTGTTATAATTGAAGTTGTGGGCGGTATGAATGCAAAAAAAAAAAAAAAAAAAAATTAGTTATATATTTTGATATTTGTATTTATTACGTTTTAATATTATAAATTTATATATTTAAAAGTGTATGTTATTATTAAAAAATATAGTATTTTTGATATACATATATAAAAGAAGAAAAACATCTAACATGCTGATATGTAATAAACGCGAGTTGCATGTTAGCATCCCTCCTTGAAAATGAAAAAGAGGAAGTAAAATAAAAAGGTCATGGTTTCGCCGACTTCCGCATTCATTGGCGCCCTCGCCCATGCCAGGAATTTCGGATAGGGTAGATATCTATACTCGCCACTCACGAGATGTCAAAATATGAAAAATTATTCCATACGGGCACCGGTGTCTGATCTTCATCGTTCATCATAGTAATTTTTTTTTTTTAAAAAAAATTTAAAATATGGCTCATCATCATACATCTTTACTGTAATGGGCGGTAGAAATCAGACACCGTATGCATCTTTGTATACAGTGTCCATATGAAATAATCTTTCCCATTTCAGTATCTACAAGGAAAAGAAAATAAAAGGTTCTCACTGTTTTCTCCACCTCTTTAACATGTTATTTTGGGACTGAAGTGATGCAGCAGCTTTTCTTGAACGAATCACCACTATATTATGAATTGGTTACAAGAGGAAGTGCACATTGTGAGTGCATTTGAATGGAAGCTGTTTTGTTATAATTAAGGCTTTGTTTGAGATTAATATATATATATATACATACATACATACATACATACATACATAAATAATTATTATTTAATAAAGTGAATCAATTTTTTTTGGAAATGTTTACAAAAATTTTAAAAGTTCTGAATATTTAATAAATATAATAATTTAATTTTAATGCATCAAATATAATTTATATTAAATATTTTTTTCGTATGTCACTTATATTGTGATAATGTTTTGTCATCAAAACATTTTTTTCAAACTTTTTTTCTTTTATTGATTTTTTTAATTATTATTATATGGCCATATGTATGATAACACATTTAATACCAATTTAATAAATGTTAGCATTTTTAAAGGCTAAACTTTCTGAAGTATGCGGCAATTTTCTTTTTTTTTCTTTTCGGTAGAATGAAGGTTGCACTAAGCTTTCATTAAAATTCAAAATAATTATAGGATGAACATTAATTTAGTTACACGAAAGAGAATATTTATAGAAAGGGAAAGCATGTTCACACAGTAAATGAAAAGGAAGTTCAAAAGTAGGAGCCACAAGAATCCTAAGATGTCGGTAAGTTAGTGTGGTAGGTTACATGTTCATGAAAATGACCGCTAGATATAAAAATTATGCCGATCTTAGCTTATAAATATCAGAGAAATACAGCCTATAAATAACATGTCATGATTTTTTTCGACAAGTTTTACGCTGGCTGTCGATTACCTAACGCAACCCTCCACTTTTCACATCTGAGCCTATAAATAACATAGTTGAATAAAAAACAATAATAATAAAGAGATGCGAAAAGGTCAACAGAATGCATTCCCATAAGTATTAAATAAGGAATAAGGATTCCTCGTAAGGTAAGCTGCCAAAACTCCAACAATAATAGCATAAATCCTAAAAATAACCATCCGGTAAAGAGATAAAAAAGATCAAGTGTAATAACCTTTCAAAACCAACATCTTGAGGGTGAAAATAGAAGCAAAGGAGATCCAGATGATTGTGAAGTAGTAAATAGGAAAGAAAGCCAATAGTGTAACACAGAGGCAACCAAAAATGAGATATGCCAAAAAGTAAATCTTGAATTTGTCTAAAGTTCCTAGAACAGAACCAAGATAATAGAGGGAAAATCCATGTTGGCATCTGTTCTATTAGAAAAAAGTGAGAAAAATAGCATGCTGAAGTAAAAAAAACTAAATAAACAGTATAATATATGGTCAGATGCTCTAGGAGAAACCTTGTGCATCTTGTGTGAGTACAACCAATCTCACAAAAGACCAATACAGATGAAAGTATAATAGTTATAAGGCATTCTAAGAAAATACCAAAGAAGAAAATAAAAATAGCAATCCAACCATCGAGAAGAAGAAAAAAGCTGAAAAGTTCAAACAGAATAACGATATTCAAAATATGATGTTTCAAAACCATAGAAAAAATAATCGAAGCAAAACTATGCAAGGTCAAGTGAAGCATCTATTCATAAATTGCAAAATCTAAAACAACCAAATTGAATCCAGACCATTGAAGAGTTGAAGAGGGTGGTAGCTTGCAAGTGCAACAGTGGCAATAAGTGAAAAACAGTAGAGAAACTATAAAGCATACCAAAAAGAAGGTAGAGGTCCAACAAGACCCCAAAAAGAGCAACTGGGTAGAAAAGTGTGAATCATATAAAGTTTAAATTCTTATAGTAGCATGTATCTCAACTTTAAATAATCATTTTCTTCTTCTGAGCTTGATAACAATATGTACCTGATTTATAAGAGTATTAATAAAAGTGTTGAGCTACTTAAAAATTCTTTTTTTTTTAAGCAAAATATAGAGAGTAGTTATATGAAAAATTAGAAGGAAGAACTTCTTAACAATATATCAATCAATTTCATCAACATAGTTAGTGTTTGAGCCATACTTCACCTGATATGAAAGAATTTTCCATTGGGTATGCATTTTTTGAAAAGTAAAAAAGAGAATGAATAGTCAAAGAAGAGGTGAGAGTGAGTTTCATGAAGGTCAGTGCAAAGCATACGTTGGGGAATTAGATCCAATTCCTCTAATCTTCTCAACATACGTTGGGGAACCTCTTTAATTTTCATTTCACCAACTAGAGTTTTCTAAGGAGTAAAAAAAAAAAAACTTGAAAGAGTGACCTTTAAATCAAATCAAACTAAACTGCACTACATCAGTTTGGAGAGATTTTCAAAGAATTATAAGAAGACATTGTAATTGGAGAAAGCATCATTCCCTTTCTAATGGCATGTATGTTAGCCATCTAAATTGGTGTTGTCAGTAATAAATTACAGAAAATTATTCAAGGCAACATGAGTAGTGGGGAGAAACCACCTACAATTACTAATGACTCAACATCTTTTGCAAACATGGTATAGGTGAACAAAGAAATTGGTTACAGTCCATATTTCTCAAAAAGAGAAATGCCATTAAGCCATGAGTTAAAAGAAATTGTAAATTGCTACTATTGTTGAATTTAAAAGATATATTGTATCTTAATCTAGTTGTTGTTTGGCATAAGGCATTCCAAAAGGGTCAAGGTTTATGATTACTTTTATGCCATTGTGACTCGTACCTTTTAAATACTAATTAGACAAGTAAGAGTTAGAATTATAGTGCCTATGGATAGTTTTGACGCAACATAAGAGATTGATAGTGTCTAGAGTAGGGAGGACAAAACCTCCACAATCCTTAGGCCGTGAAGTGATTTCCCAAGCAATGTTATGCATTTTATAATCAGTTGCATTGTGATGTAAGAGGTCATTAATGAAAAAAGTGATCTTATACCTTAAATCTTAGATATAATGGCGACTCTGAACTAGTAATAAATATATCTTCAAATAGAGGATTTAATAAGCTAAAACCTACCAGCAAAGGACAATATTTTTTTACACCCTACAAGCCAATACAAAATTTAAGTTTAGAGCAGTCAACAACATTAGGTTTGCAGTAATTACTAAAAATACCATGATAATCCCAAGGGAGATGTATAGAACATAAACTAAATAAATTTATGTTTAGTGGGATAACTGACTATTAAACACTTTCTAGGGCACATGGAGCATTTTCCTAGGTTAACAGAGAGATTAGTAGCCTCATAAAAGGTGGTGAGAGTGTTAGAGTGGCCTTTATAGATTATAATTTTGCTTTTCCAAAGACTAGAAGATCATCAACAAAATTAAGCTGAGTATCAGGTTGCTCATCTAAATCAAAATGTTTAGAGAGAAGAACATTCATATATATTGTAAAAAGATAGCGTAAATGTTGACAACCATACCTTAAAATATAAGAAAATAAGAACTACTGTTTAAGATTTCTATTAATAATAACAGAGAAAGGAACTTAAGTGGTACAAGCCTCCATCCAAGCAATGAATCCATTAGGAAAGTTTGTAAGTCTCATGCTTTTATAAAGATAAGAATGATTAATCTTCTCAACGATTTTCCATGAGATCAATCTTAGTGCATAATCCTTTCAAATAGGAACTTGAGCTAAAGCATTATAACAACCCATTATAAAAAAATGATATTATTAGCAATGCCACTACTAGAGTTAAAAACAACTTAAGCAATTAAGGATGGAAGCAAAAGCTAGAGTTTTCAGTAAGAATTTTAGCAATAACCTATAAATTATGCTACATAATAAAATTGATTAGTAATCATTGAGGGATTTAGCATGAGAAACTTTAGAAAAGAGTGTGATAGCTGAGTTCTTGATCCAGTAAAATAGATCCAAAAAAACGGTAGTATTAAAAAAGAACCAAAAGTAGCGTAACCCCTCAGGTGCAAGGATCCTTCAAAGCTACCTTTTCCCTTTCTTAGATATCTTTCCATTCTTGGTGTTAAAGGCATAACTTTCAGCTTCTCCATCATCATCATCTCCACCCTTCCTTCTTTTCTTGTTCCCTGCACTTTCTTTAATTTTCATTTGAGATATTCTTTTAGCATCTGAAACTCTCTCCAAGAATAATAAAACTTCAGGCTCCTCCGCCAGATACTCAGGTAACTTTTTTCCGATAAGTTGTTCTATTTGAATGTACCATTCCACTTCATATTGATTTACTAATGAGATGGCTGATCCAGACCGCCCAGCACGAGCAGTCCTGCCGACGCGATGTATGTAATCCTTAGAATTGCTGGGAATGTCATAATTTATGACCAAATCAACTGTTGGTATGTCAAGTCCTCTGCTAGCAACATCAGTGCAAATAAGAATGTTGCAATCTCCAGCCTTGAATTTATTTAATGCTCCCAGTCGCTTTGTCTGGCTCATTTGACCACTGATGGGTATCGCCTTTAAGCCAAGGTTCCGGAGGAGCAAAGCCAAAAGTCGTGTAGAATCACAAGTACGAGTGAATACCATAGAGGTGCTTCTAGACATCTCAGTCAGAATGTAAACAAGATAGCAGTCCTTGTACTTGGCAGGGACCATACGAAATTGCTGCTTTAGAGTATCAACGGTAGAATACTTGGAGGATGCCTCAATCTTTACAGGATTCTTAAGGCATGCCCTTTGAAGTTTTCCAACCTTTTTTGTCATAGTTGCTGAGAACAGATATGTCCTGCGTTCTTTGGGAATAGCCTTAAGAATATCATCAATAGCTTTTTCAAAGTCCATGTTGAGCAACCTATCAGCCTCATCAAGAACCAAGTACTTCAACATGCGAAGGCTAAAACCTTTTGTATTTGAAAGATGATCCAATAAACGTCCAGGAGTAGCTACTATAATATGAGGACGCTTTGCTAGAGAAATGGCCTGTGCCATCATGTCAACACCTCCAACAAGCACCGAGCATTTCACACCAATTTCAGACCCTAGTGCTTCAAATTGTTGAGAAATTTGGATCGCCAACTCTCTAGTTGGAGACAGTACACAAGCAAAGAATGGTTGTGGCTTCTCAAGGAGAGCTTGGATGATTGGAAGGGCAAAAGCTCCAGTCTTGCCTGATCCTGTTTGCGCAAGTCCAATTACATCCCTTCCTTCAAGGGCATGAGGAATCGACTCCACCTGAATCTTTGATGGGGTTTTCCACCCCAAACTCTCACAAGTTTCGACCAATTGTTCGCAGACACCCAAACTCTTAAAGGTCCTTTCATCTCCATCTGCCATCGTTAGCTATAATTTTGAGCCAGACGTAAATGGGCTGTTTAGTACCCGGATTTAACTAGGATTTAAGGAGGATAAAATCCTAAATCCTGCAAAACAACAAAAAATGGAATCTTTAAATCCTACAGGTTTAGTAAAACCGTATGGATCCTGTTTTGCCTTGAATCAAGGATTTAGTAAAACCGTATGGAAGACGGACTTACGGGATTTTGAGGAGCGGAAGTCCGAAAGGAAAGAGGACTGGTTTCTGGTAGGAGGGAATCGCAAGGAGAAGAACGATTAGAGTTTCGGAGGTCTTTGTCCGCCGCGACCCCGTCGTTTGCGTTCTAACCGATATATATATATATATATATTTGGAGAAGAAACATTACGGTTCTCCGATTCTATTGATTCAAAATAAAATTACAATATGAGAGGGAGGTGTAACTCTCTGAAACTAAAAAGGCAAAATACAAAAAAGACACACCCCTAAGGGGTTCACCTCCCATAGTACAACACACCCAAAATAAAAAATATCCAAAAAGGTACGTACAAATATGCCCCAAAAGAATAGCCATAAAACACAGGCTCAAAAAATGTAGAGACAAAAAAATAGCGATAAAATGTGAGGTCTGAAACAATAACTTGTTTTATCATCGTAATGACTGTAACATTCGCAGCAAAACAAAACAACAAAAGTAGTAAATTCAACCTATAGTCGCATGTTGAGCAGTAGCGTTGAATGCATAGTGAAACAAGAGAACAAGTAAATACAACAACAAAGGTATCTGCAAACATATGAAATAAAATAGGCAGATGTACCCTAAAAGATGTTCAAAAGATCAAACCCGAAAAACTGAAGATAGAGGAAGGGGTGATAAAAAGGTGGAAACTCCCAGGTTTAGGAGAGCATCAGGATGTAAACCAGAATGCATCAAAACAACATAAAGAAAATCATATATATTGCCGAGGAAAATAGAGCTGACCATCCAAAAAATTTACGAGGGGCTGTCATCTCAATCTAATGTAGCTTACAGGAAGACAGTCCATGAAAAACATATAGGAATTGGGAACGTCCTTTCATAAAACAGAAACAAAAACAAAAAAACCTGGCCCACAACAAGTTAAAATATCATATAATGTAGCTCAAGCAAAACACCATTTAGTAGGCTCCTTAAATGTTGAGTGGTTGTGAAACCAAAAAACTGACCAACAACACCCTCACCTTTTCGAGCCAACCAATCCGCCGGAGAATTACCTTTTCTATAAATGAATAACATATGAATAGTTAATTGATGCTTGTCAATGTGAACCCGAATCTTGTTCATAGTGTCAAGCAAATTCCATTTGGGTCTAGATGCCTTATTGAATTCATCATAAAAGATTTGAGAATCAGTCTCAATAATTAATTTAGGTTGCTTACAGCAAGCCGCCACCTATAGAGCCAACAACATCGCCTAACTTTCGGCCTCAAGAGGAGAAGAGGCATAAATAGGAGAAGAAAAAATTAGAGGCAATGTCCTAAATGATTTCAAAAACCCCACCAGCACCAGCCGCAGTGGAAGTCGAGCTTACATAAATATTGGCCTTTATCCGATCTAGAGGAGGGGGTTGCCACCATAATAAAGTAGACATCCTACCCATCGGATTAGATACAAGTCCCAAAATTAAGGCTCGACAAACTCAATGAAAATGTGCAAGTATATGAAAGACAATAACAGGAGCAAAATCAAAGCTCCAATACACATATATATATATATATATATATCTATATGTACATATACATATATATATATGTATATATACATATATATATATATATATATACTGCAGTGGGCTTTGGTTGGTGTGTTTTTCTGTGTGGGTGCTTGGCTTTCTTTTATTAGTGCGGTTGGTTGTTTCAGCTATTGTTTGTGTTTTGGGTGTGCTCGTGTTGACGGGGTATATAGCTACTTGACCTGATCCACAATTATGCAGCAATTTAGTTTCCACAAGATGACAAAAAACTTGAACCAATTTATATTTAGTGGTTAGTGTAAAATTGATATGTTATAAATTTAGAATTTTTCATTAATAGTTTACACACTATACGCACTACACAAGCATATGTATCGTTTCAATTAATATATGGTTTTATTTAAAGACCCTGATATCGATCCCACAGAGAAGTGATGTAAGAAATCCCTTAGTCTAATTCTAGTCTACTAATATCACGTCTAAGATTGGAATTTTCAAAAAGTTTGGTTTTCCTAAATTCACCAATATACGCTAAAATTATAATTAACAAAATTAAATAAAAACCAAATATAAGGAGACTAGTTAAATTTTTGAAAGTTCTTACATAACTAAAATCCCTTTCCCCTTGCAATAAGATCATAATAAGCGCAGGTTGTCACATCAGCGCCGATGGACAAGCCCTCAAGGCGAGTCAGTTGAATGAAACAAAGGTCCGAAGTACCAAATATTATTACCGAGTTTGATGTACAGAGGGAGGATGCTCAAAAGAGTCCTCCAGATCTCATGAAGATTTAGGAAAAAGTCATTGAAGAAAAAGTTAAAAAGCTCAAAGCCGACATTTCTGTGTTGGCCAGAGAGCATGGGATGGCCATCAATGATGATGAAGGTTTTAATTTTAATGATTATCTTGTTGAGGAGAAACTAGAGCCGCTGCATCTGATAGCGATGCTCAGCCACTTATAGAAGGGAACACTGTAGATGACTTGCGTAGGGTTGTTCTGCTAAGAGATGAACAGATCAGCCAGATGGAGAAAAGAATAAAGGAGATGGCCACCGTCATGGCCGCCATGGCTACAATTCATGGACAATCTCAGTCGCAGCAGTTAACTTCTCTAGAAGTCAATCAGCTAGAGATAATTCACATCACAGACGAAAGGAGATAAGTTGTCTCCGCCAACAGAGATGATCAGCAGAAGAAGGGTTTCCCACAAAGTGTAATACCATAAAAATATATTAAAAAGTTGGTCAAACAGCAAGCTCGGGAGGCCTTAGCCCAGTCCAAGGGAGGTGCATCAGTTTCAAAGGGTAGACCTTATCTAGAATAGTTTGATGCCGTACCTTAACCTATGGGTTTTGTGTTACTGAATTTCAAAACCTTTGATGGGACTGGGAATCCCAAACAACATGTAGAACATTTCTGAGTCAATTGTGGCAACACCAGAGGTAATGAAGCCTTCCTTTCCGTCAGTTCGGCAGCAGCCTGTCAGGGATTGTATTTGATTGGTATGTTGAGCTACCCAACGGGTCAATGAAGATGTTTTTCGAGTTGGAACAATTGTTTGTAAAGAGAATTGCTGGAGCGCAACACCACATTACGATAGGAGATCTCATAGTAGAGCGACAAAAGCCCAACGAGACCCTGGTGGATTATATCTTGAGGTAGAAAAACTTAAACATGAAGTCTGAACTGCAACTATAGGAACAACATGTGATTAAGATTCTTCTCAAGAGCATACATGGGCCAGTAGCTTTCATGCTTAAGGGGCTCACCATCAAGTCCTTTGAGAAGTTACTCAGCAAGGCTAGCAGCTTGCAGGAAGAAATCAAGCATACAGATTCCCAAATAAAGTCAGAGAAGCCTACGAAAACTAAGATATTCGAGAAGAAGGCCGAGATAGTGGCGACAGTGGATAAAGGGAAGCAACCGATAAAGATTCCAGTTGAGCAGTCCCATTAGGGCCATCAGCAGTCACAGGATAGCCAACCTCAACATCTGTCCACTTAACAGTTTGGTCTATTTAACCAGCAGTAGAGGGCATACAGGATAGATAACAAATAGGGTTCGACAATCGCAGAACAGTTGAAGAGAGTATATTCCTTCCAAGATGAAGTTATGCTGAAGATGTTCAGGAGTCTGATGAAGAGGTCTGAGTTCAGGCTGCCCAAGTCGAAGAAGCCAAAAAAGGTTGATAAGAAGGATCAATTCAACTACTGTCTATACCACACACTTCTTGGACATACCATACAGAGTTGTTTCAGTTTCAAGGATTGGCTCGAGAAAAATCTTAAAAAAGGAAAAAATAACAATTCCGTGAGAATACTTAAAAGAACCTGAAAGAAGTTCTATAAATATGATTTCAGCCAAGCCAATTACCCAGATAGAGTCGTATTTAGAGGAAGAGGGTTGGAGCACAGTTTGGAGCAAATCGACCAAGAAGATACTCGATCAGATTCAGACCGCTTCAGCATGAGCACCACTTAGAGTCTACAGCCTAACAACCCCAAGTTGGAGACTTCACCAGAAAAGCCGCCCCAGCCAGAGAAGAAGAAGAACGTGATCGTGAAGACTGATAGCATGAAGGGTAAGATAGGGACTACCTCTGTTAGATTGGTTCTCTTGAATTTGGGGGAGAAAATCCTTGAACCCGTGATTGTGTTGATTATCTTTTTTCCCCTCCGGGGTCTTTTGAATACAATGATTACGATTTCAGTTACATTTTAACTATCTCCAATGATGAAATAACTGATTGTGACCAATCTAACCCAAATCTTGATTCACAAATTGATCCTTAAATCATACTTAAATCCGATGAACCCGTTAACAAAAATGAAGAAGATGTCGACAATACTGGTTACCATGGTTCTAGGAGCGAGGAACCAGTCTTCGAGTTCTAAGGAGCACCACTCAGCATCATTTTGGATTTCTCCGATACAGAAGAAGCACCAGAAGTTTTGCTTTTAGCATCACAAGAAAAAAAAGAAGAGATTACAGAAATAAATCTGAGGAGTGGAAAGGTATTTCCCACAAGAATGGCTCCAATAGACAAAGGAAAGCAAATAGTTACTCACGAAGAGTTGCCCTCACCGCTAAAAGAAATACCTCTTCTAAGTAAAATCAGAGGCACGTGTAAAGTGGATTATAACGCACTAGATCATCGTAGGAGGTTGCTGGCCAAACTAAGCATCTATGAAGCTCTGATCCTATCATGGAGATAAGGGAAGCTCTGGTTATAACCTTGCTTGACCCAGAGATTTACTTAGCATAGTTGGTCAGCACATCCTCGAATGAAGTTTATTCGTTAAAGGAAGAGCCTGGGGTGACTTTTGCCGATGAAGATGTGTTGCTGGGTACTATCGATCATAACCAACCACTCTACATCTCAGTCAACATCGATAGATTTGTGCTTTTCAAGGTTTTGGTAGATCTAGGAGTGTCACTCAACTTAATGAGTCTACGGACATTAACTTACTTGGACATTGAAACTCAAGAGCTCACTGCCTATAGGATGATGCTAAGAGGATTTAACCATAAAGCAGAAAGCGCTCTTGGATCAATCACACTGATAATGAAGGTTGTAGAGATAGTAAAAATTGCAAAGTTTCATATTTTC